TGGATTTAAACTGCCGACCTTTTGGTTAGCAGCTGAGCTCTTAACCACTGCACCACCAGAGCTCCAAGTGTGGAGGTGCAGAGGATCGAAGCCAGCACCTTATACATGCAAAGCATGTGCTCTATTCTTCAATTCTTTCTGTAAAGCCAATCTTCTGTCTGGTATCATATTCCTTCTACCTGAAGAGCTTCCTTTAACATTTCCTATAGTGCAGGTCTCCTGATAATACATTCTCTAAGTTTTTGTTTGTCTGAAATAGTCTTTATATTTGTTTCATTTGTGAAAGTTATTTTCACTGGGGATAGAATTCTGGATTGACATTTTTGTGTGTTTGTGTGGTTTCTTCCCCAGCACTTTAAAGATATCACTCATTCTTTTCTGACTTGCATAGTTTCAGATGAGAAGTCTGTGGTAATTCTTATCTTGCTTCGACTGTAAGTAATATGTCTTTTTAATCTAGCTGTTTTTAAGCACTTCTGTGTACCACTGTTTTTTAGCAATTTGATTATGATGCTGCCTTGGTGTTATTTTCTTTAAGATTTCTCTGTTTGGGATTCATTGAACTTCTTGAACCTGTGAGTTTATAGTTTTCATCAAATTTGTAAAAGATTTGGCCATTATTTCTTCAAATACTTTTTTCCTGTCTTCTCCCTGTTTCTTTCCTGGGGCTCCAGATATGTGTATGTTAGATCACTTGATATTTTCCCACAGGTTGCTGAGGTTCTTTTTTTTTCTCTTTCTCTCTGTGCTCATTTGAATAGTCTATATTGTCATATCTTCTAGTTCACTAATCTTTTCTTCTGTAGTGTCTAATCTGCTGTTATTTTCATTCATTGTAGGGTTCATTTCAGATACTTTCTTTTTCACTTCTAGAAGTTACATATGGGTCCTTTTTATATCTTCCATTTCAATTCTCATCATTTTCATGTTATACTTTACATCCTTGAGCATATTTATAAGATTTTTATTAGCTCTCTTAAGGTCCTTTTCTACTAATTCTACCATCTTTGTCATTTCTGGAACCGTTTCTATTGATTGGTTTTCCTCCTGGATATGATCATATTTTTCTGAATCTTTTCATGTCTGATAAATTTTTACCAGATGCTGAACATTGTGATTTTACATTGTTGGGTGGTAGATTTTGATGCATTCCTAGAAAGAGTGTTGCTTTTTTTTTTTCTGGCACACATTTTATCCTTTCAAACTTTTAAGCTTCATTATGGCAGGTCCAGAATAGCTTTTATTTATCCTCACTACTAAGGCATGACCCTTTTGTGGACTAATTTATCCTCACTACTAAGGCATGACCCTTTGTGGGTTCTACCCAACCCCCATCTAGTACAGCATCTCTCCATTCTGGTTGATGGGAAAAATAAATACACCTTCTCCTCACTTACCGACTATCTTGTTATCTGATATTTCACATTTACAACAATAGTAAAAAAAAATCTGCTATCCAACTATTTTGTGCATTAATGACATACGTCTGGCAGTAACAAATGTTGAGGGGTGAGGTGAGAGTGATGATGGCTGTGATGGTTAAGGTTATGTGTCAACTTGACTGAGCCATGATTCTCAATGGTTTGGCAGTTATGTAATGAGGTAATTTGGCAATTATGTAATGTAGTAATCCTCCATTTTGTGATGTGATCATCCTCCATTTTCGCATAACACCAATTTTGCATAACACCCTGGTCTTTGGAAACTAACCATGTGGATAAGTGGGAGAAGGTGTATTCCCAGTTCTGTGTAAGTCCCAGATATTTTCAGCCCACTGCTTTCTATTGGTTCTTTCCTCAGTCTTAGTTTCCTCTAATGTATGGCCAGATCAGTACTCAGCCAAATATTTGAGTGGATTACTTTACATATTTTTGAACTCTTTCTGTGCAGCTCCTTCCTCTCTGGTGTTCTGCCTGTAAATTCTAGCCTCTGTGGCCTTCTTGAACTCTGATTTCTATCACCATAACTCAGAAAGTTAGGCTTTGTTTGGATTCCCCTCTCCCTGCAATGTGATCTGGAAACTGCCCTCAGCACTAATCTGGGGCCATTGTAGAACTCACTTTGTTTTTCTTCTCTTGGAGATCGCAGACTTATGCTGCCTATTGTCAAATGCCTAAAAACAGTTGCTTCATACATTTGTCTATTTTTACTTGTTAACAGCAGGAGCACAATTTAATTTCCATATTAGTTAATCCTTCATGGGCAGAGCTGAACTTTATTTTGCCAACTTTTCCCCCACTAAGCAATCATTTTTAAATCAATAAAGGAGTGAATAAATGAAGGGCCTTATTTATTTATTCTCTGGTAGGTCTTGTCTCCCTCAGTAATTTGTTCCTCATTTTATTCTGTTACCTCAGAGAAGTAATTCCAAACCTTTTCTGACTGACAATCTATACTTGAAATGTAATATTTAATAGATTGGCAGCACACTTGAAGAAATAGAGACTCCAAACAACCAAAACAAATCAATAGTGATTATAGCACAATCACAACTACAGTATAAGAATGCCTTTCAGTTTCTGTAAAAACAGCCATTGTTTACTTGCCACCCTTCAGTGCTGTGTTGCTCTTTGTAAGAACCATTTAGTACCCTAGCTTCAATAAAGCTGTTATTAAAAAATCGCATTAGTGTGCTAGAATTATGGATGTCTAGTGAAACAATTTAAGCTTCATATTATAATAGTGATATATGCATGTTTTCAAAGTTTTGGAAAATAAAAGAAGTTGCAAAAGTTTTTAAGCAATTTATAATCCTATCCCAAAACCAAATTCATTGCCATCAAGTCAATTCCAACACATAATGACCCTATAGGACAGAGTAGAACTGCCCCATAGGGTTTCCAAGGCTGAAATCTTTACAGAAGCAGACTTCTATATCTTTCTCTTGTGGAGGGCAGCTGCTGGGTTCAAACCGCTGACCTTTTGGTTAGCATCCAAGCGCTTTAACCACTGCAACACCAAGGCTTCCATAATCCTATCACAACACTGTTAATAATGCTTTCCAGTCTTGCCTGTGAAGCAGGCTGAGAGCAAATGCAGCCCAGGTGTGGATGGAGCACTGCCCAGGTGTACCTCATTGGTGCACCTGATTGTACAACTATTCTGATAGGACATCATGGTCCTGGAATCTAAGAGCAGTGCAGATATACCTTCCTAATCAAGAACATATGTTTAAGAAATTCCTAGGTGGTGGCCAGTACAGTAGTCATAAGTATCCAGTATTGGTTTCAAGGTCATGCTCTGCCACTTAAAAGCTCTGATTTAGGATGAGTCACCTTTTGAGCCCATTTCCTCATCTATAAACTGGAAATGATAACAGTTCTTTCCTCTCAGCGTGGTTGTGAGGTTGTGAGGATTGAATACGATGATCCACACAAACTAGTTAATGCTACCTGGACTGCAGTAGGTGTTTATTGTTAGGTTTTAATATATGTACAGAGATATTGTATTAACAGCTTAAAATAATAGCTATTATTTATTGAGCCCTTACAGCCTTAAATGCCTTGTGAAGAATATTTCATTCGATCCTTACAACAACCCAGTGAGGTATAATCCTCCATGTTACAGATAAAAAAGAGAAACTAAAGTATAGAAGGAAGGGTTGAGTGTCTTGCCCAAGGTCACACAGGTAGTAAGTGGTGGAATCAGGCTTTGCAACCAAGCAGCTGACTCCTGCTCACTGTTAACCACTATAATAACAACCAAGGCAACACACAGCAAATGCTGAAGGCCTCTAACATGCTAAAATTTAACATTTAGCACTCAATTGCAACGCGTGGTGGTGGTGGAGTGGGTAAGGTTGGTTTTTTAAATTGTTGTTAGGCTGCTGTTGTTAGGTGCCGTTGAGTTGGTTCTGACTTATAGAGACCCTATATACAACAGAACGAAACACTGCCCAGTCCTGCACCATCCTCACAATTGTTATGCTTGAGCCCACTGTTGCTGCCAACGTGTCGATCCATCTCTTTGAGGGTCTTCCTCTTTTTCGATGACCCTCTACTTTACCAAGCATGATGTCATTCTCCAGCGACCGGTTCCTCCTGATAACACATCCAAAGTATGAGACGAAGTCTCATCGTTCTTGCTTCTAAGGAGCATTCTGGCTGTACTTTTTCCAAGACAGATTTGTTCGTTCTTCTGGCATTTATAGGTACATATTACTGTGCAGGAAACCCTGGTGTTGTAGTGGTTAAGAGGTGCGGCTGCTAACCAAAAGGTTGGCAGTTTGAATCCACCAGGTGCTCCTTGGAAACCCTATGGGGCAGTTCTACTCTGTCGTTATAGAGTCACTAAGAGTCAGAATCCCTTTGACGGCAAGGGGTACAGTAGTTTACTTTGTGTGCAATTTTATGGGATTTGTATGAGTAGTCTTGACTATATGCAGTTTTGTCCATTCAGTAATAATGCTATCATGCATCTTGGGAGCATTTCCATTTCTCAAAGCACTCTCATGTAAATAACCAATTTGATATTTTTCATAGGCTGAGAAAGTGCGTCAGAGAACTGGAGGCAACTTAGCGACCAGCCGTAGATTCTAATCTCACCCTTTCATCTTACAGACGGGTAAAACGAGGCCCATAACAGGGAAGGCATCTGCTGAGAAACACCCAAGGTCTCGGGAGTGGACCTGGAATCTGCAGTCCATCCACTGGCAGCCCCCGGGCTCCCCAAACGTTTGTGCACTCCCAGAGGCAGAAGCGTCAGATACCCACGCCCCTCACAGGAACTCTGTGAAGAAGGCACGCCCTGGTCATTATCACTACTTTACAGGCGGGACACTGAGGGCACACCTCCAGGGCCTCCACACTCTCCACACCTCCCACGGTGGCTTCTATCTGCCTTCAGGGAACTACTTAGCTTCGCACCGGAATTCCGTACCCACCCAGCTGACTGGCGGGGAGCCTCAGTGGGCTTCCTATCCCCAGTTGGTCTATGGGGTGACTCGTGTCCTCCTCCTCACGACCTCAGGGGTCTGTCCCCGACCTGGAACTACCTCCTACCTCGCCCGGTCCGGGAGGGCTGAATCTGACCCAGTGCAGTCTCCTCGTCGCTATGGCAACCACGGGCCTAACATTCTAGAGTCCACCTTCCGTTCGCCGCCTGAGTAACTCTAGCCAATGGTATCCTCTGTTTCTTTAGCTTGTGAAAAGTTGCTGGCCAATCGTTATAGGCGTTTCAAAAATCGCAGGGAAGCTGCCAGAATTTTATAACTCGGGTTAAGCTACGTTAGGATCCGTGGGGAAATGGGTGCTTTTCTAGGCCACCTCTCGAAAACCTTGTGATAGACCAAAAGCCTTAAAACTGTGCTCACTCAGCAAGCCTACTTAAAGGATTAAAACTAAGGGAATTAGTAACATTCCTCTAAGTGGCTGTTTATAATAACAACAAAGAAAAAGATGGATGCAACTATACAAGAGCAGCCATGTAGAGTATTCCATGACCCCCTCCTTACAAGCTTCAGGGCAGTCATGGTGATCTTGTCACTTCCCTGCTTAATTTTAAGAGGCTTCCCTTTCAGTTTAGGATGAAATCCAAACATGTTATTATAAGCTCTCCCTGGCCAGTCCCTCTGGTCGCATCTCCTACACCGCCTGTCCCCAGCCCTCCCCCCACCCCCACAACAACTTCGCACCAGCCACGCTCGTAGCTTTTGGGTACTTCCTAAAATAAGCCAACCTCATTCCCGAGCTTTCTCTGCCTCAGGATCTGAGCCATATTTGGTCTCTGCCCAAATATCATTTCTTCATCTGTAAAATGGGAATGCGTTTAGCAATGCCTCACTCAGAGTTGTTGTGAGAATCTGAAATGAAACCCGATCAATGCAAGTTATAAAAAACTTTTTGTCATCTGTAAAGCTCCATACACACATTAATTATTACAGTTATACAATACAGAAATATAAAGTGCTAGTCTCATTGTAGGACCTTAAGCATTGCTGAGCTACGGACGTGCTGGAAGGTTTGGTATAGTACAGCCAGCAGGTATTATGGGAGGACAGAAAGGAGAGTTCTCGGGAAGGCTTTCTGGGGGAAACCAGACCTCGAGGGATATTTAGGACTGCATACGTGATGAGAGCGTGGGGTGGGGGGAACAGTAGGAGCAAAGCCCTGGAGATAGGGTGGCTATGAGGGCAGGAAGGGAGGATATTTGGCTGGCTAAAGCCAAGCTCATCTGTCGGCCAGGTGGAGGCAAGCAATCACCTGAGCTCTTTGGGACCTGAGGTGAGTTGAGGGACGTTGTTCCAATGTTCTTCTCTTGGCCGCTAGAGGGGAGCCTTCCAGGTGAGCGCAAAGCTCCAGCCGAGCTCCGCCTTCTCCAGGTCGCTCCCCTGCGCTTCAAGCAAGCTTTGCAGCGCAGCCAATGATCGAGCGCTGTCCCGTCCACTCCCTTCTCGCAGCCACTCGCCTGAGCAAAGTCCCTGCGAGCTTCTAACTGGCAGGCAGCCTGGCAAATCAAATCTCGGTCTTGGAAAGCAAACTACTGCAGCGCCCTGGCAGCTCTGAATTGGGGAAGAATTAAGGAGGCTGTTCCTCCAGGTTGCAGAGAAGAGTCCCAGTCATTTCTCAGAGCCTTCTGATGGGTGGACCTTAGAAGAAACGCTACCGGTGAGTTAGTGATTAAGACTAGGGGGAGAGGGGGCTTAAATTCAACTTTCTTTTTTTTTAGGAAAAGCGCATGCATTTGTAATTATCTGACGTCACGTAGTACAAACGCATTTCTTCCTTCTTGCTGTCACCAGCCTTGTCAGTTTGGGTCCCGTTTGCCTCAGAATTTTTGCATCGAGGGTGAGAGGCGAAGAGGTATGGTTTTGCCTCAATACGGGTGATGCTAGGCTTTATCAAATCGGGAAGGGAAATGGAGTAACTGCCAAAATTACTGGTCTACCTGCCAGACTCGGGCTTCCTGGCCATAGCAGATGGTGGAGTTAGCAGGTGAGATGAGGGGAGCATTCTTGGTCTGCCCTGGCTGATGGAGCAGAGGCGCTGCCTTCCTGGATTGTAGAGTTTCCAGCTCAATATGAGGAGACTGAAGAGCGTAACCTTTAGTAAGCCAAAGCCCAGGAAAGGGAAAGCACTTGTCATGTCACTGAGACTCATCAGCCAGTAGCTGAATCGTCAGGTGGCAGGAAAGGGCGTGTTTATTTATTTTTTCAGCTAAATTCTAATACAGACCCTACTCTTCCCAGCCATGTGCCCTCAGACAGGTTCCTTAACATCTTGGAGCCACGGTTCTCAAATCTGTAAAACCTGCTCTATGGGATTGGTGAAGTAAATCTATGAGATAAGGGAGATGGAATGGGGATGGAAGAAAGCACCTACTGGATTATCTTTCCATTCTAGAATCAGTGGCCATATGCCTCCAGCTGGGACGGTTAGCAACATAGAGTTGGCTGCTTGCCATTTGGGCAGTTGTTAGTTCTGGAAGAGTGCTTTGAAATCAAGAACAGAGACTTACCAAGCAAAGAATGTGTGCCTTATAAGGGAGTACAACTTGCAAAGAGATGCTCTGAGGCGCTTAGTGCAAACTCCTACCCAGCGGAGGGACAGCTGTCTTTGCAGAAGATGCTTCAGAGGCCTGGGCATTTCTGAGCAAAGAGGGAAGCTGCTCTATAAAAGCTCATTAAAGCACAGCAGCAACAACAACAAACAGAAGCAATAACAAAATACCACCTGGATAAACCAGCTGATCTACTGGACGTTTAGAGGCCTGGTTCCAGGGCTTCTGATTAGTTTGTTCCCCTTCGAACCCCTGCTGAGAATTTGCATTTCTAATGAGATCCCCGGTGATGCTAATGCTACTAGTTAGGGACCAGTTCTGAGAACCGCTAGTAGAGCAGTGGTTCTCAAAATTTATTATACATAAGAGTCACCTAGGGATCTTGTTAAAATGTAGATTCTGATTCAGTATATCTGGGGTGGAAATACAAATTCTCAGCAGGAGTTCGAACCAGAACTAATCTGTTCGAAGCGTTGCTGGATTCCCACCACTCCTTGGCATGGTTCCAAGGCCTGTTTGCTTTCTCTGACATCCTGTGGGTAGGGCTTGGTATATCTGTTTGTTGTAGCGCTGGAGTATGGATGTTTAGGCCTGAGTAAGGCATTCTTCTTGACTGTGAAGTAGCTACAGCGCACAAGGTGCCTAAAAGGTCTGCATTTAGCCAGTGGGAGGGTATATATGGAAGTCACGTTGCCAGGTCCTGGGCTAGATCTCATGAGAGAGCAACTGAGCAGCAAACACCTTCCCAAAGTTTGTGCTCCAGTGCCCCTTGAATTCATGATTGATTGCCTCCCAGGGCCCTTCAGAGGTGGAGGTAGCCCTGGGCCACTTTCCTTTCCAAGGCTTTCATTATATTAAAAATGCTAACCTAAGGATACAGAAATGTAACACAACAATGCTTCTCACACACAAAAGCATAGTGAAGAATAATTGTGCTTTTCACAAGGTTGTAAACAATTATTCCTAGGGCTTTACAGGCAGGGCTGTCTGGTTATGGGACAAGAGTTACAAAGTTGTCGGATGAGTGTACTGAATGGGACTCTGGGACTGAATGTATAACCTCATCTGGAAGCAGCAGCAATAATTTTAATTTAAGGACCTTTGGGAAAGTGAGACCTGGGCCAAATGGTCTTCGTGGCTGCCCCCATAATAAGCCCTGCATCTGGTGTCTCCTAGCTACTAAGCACGGTGTTAACCATATGAGATGACTGTGCTGTTCATACTGAGGAACCAAAACTCCTGGGACCAGAGGCAACTTTCTAACATAGTGAGCCCTTAATAAGTATTTACTGAATGAATGCATGACAGAAATGAATATTTGTGGGTAAATTAAATAATTAAACTAGTAAGAATAAAATTAATACTAATAACAGCTGACATTCCTTGATTTTTTGCTATAGTTAGGCACTGCCCTAGTCATGAATTTTACATGCATATTTCATCAAATTCTCACAACAGCCCTGTGACACAGGAACGTAATTATCCATGTTTTGTAGCCGCAGAAACTGGTTGAGAAGTCAAATGACTTGGACAAGGTAAAATAGGTAGCACATAGCAGATCAAAAGCAATTTAAAACATTTTTATATTAAAATGAACATAGACTATGCAGTAAAATCCAAATTTGTACGTGTGGTAAATAGGAACCAAAAACCAAACCCATGTGTCAAGTCGATTCTGACTCAGCGACCTTATAGGACAGAGTAGAACTGTCCCATAGCGTTTCCAAGGAACGGCTGATAGATTCGAACTACTAACCTTTTGATTACGGCCAAGCTCTTAACCACTGCACCACCAGGGCTCCTAAATAGAAACACAGTGGTTAAATCCCACCTGTGTTACTAATTTCGTGGTAAGGGTCAGCATGCATCCATTCCCCACCTGGAGATGAATCCAGTCCTCACCTTCCCACTTCTCCATCATCTACAGCTGCCTAAGCAACACTCTTTCTCTGACTCTAGCCACTGGAGCTGGGTCGGAGCTCACAAGTTGAAAGGACATCATCCTTTATACCAGCTGCCCGTGCTCTTCTGTGACCCTAGCCTCCTGGAGCTAGATCAGAGCACGCAAGTTAAAAGGACACAGTCTTTCAGACTGCCAGATAGGCAGACGCCAGCCAAAAGCTTGGGAAGTCCACTTGACCCCAATCTTCTGACTTGCTGGCTCCTACTGCCGTCTTTGAGTTTGATAATTCTCTGGAATGACTCACAGAATTCATGGAGAGTGTACCACACTTAACAGCTACTGATTTGTTATAATCAAAAAGGAGACACACAGGGAGACACAAAGGGCCAAGTCTGGGAGGGGTCCCAGTGTGGAGCTTCCATGTCCCCAGGGATACCTGACACTCCTGAGAGAGATGTTCTGGCCAACCGGGAAGCCCAGGGAACTTCTTGTTTAGAGCCTTTTATTGACCTCGTTGCATATACATGATTGATTTAATCATGCCCCTGGCCAGCCCCCCACTCATTTACACAAATTCTCAAGTGTTGTCTGTCAGTTTTAGACAATTACCCAGGAAATTCCAAAGATTCTCTCAGGAACCAAGGACAACAGGCCAGTTGATTTTAGGAAAGGTAATTCATTACCACACGGTATGATTCTTCTTTTATTTATTTATCTTTTAACATGTAAGAAGACCTCGAAGAAACCCTTAGAACTTGTGGTAGGGTGTTTTGGCTATGCTTCCCAGAACACTAGGGGCTTACATTCTCTTTC